GCTTGGGATATCCTCCCGCTCTATACCCAAATTTCACCTACTTCTCGGAAGCTTACAACGAGACTTACAGATCTGCCGCTGTTCGAACCAACGGCATCGAGCTCAGATATGATTCGCCGCCTCTTTTGCTCGGCCCATGGCAGGTCAACGGCTCTTTCTCGCTTGTTTCCCTCACTATGCCCATAGTTAACAACACTTCCGCCGTGGATGTACTTGGATGGCTGACGGTCATCATGAACGCAAGACTCATTTCGCAGGTTATGCAGAGTTCCGAAGGGCTAGGCGATACTGGGCAGACTGTGATAGTCGGCCCGGCAGACGGTGCGAACCTCTTCACCCCTGGAGCGCTCAGCGCAAGTTCCGCCACAGCTGGAAACGTTAAGTACGTGTTGCCGCCCATGGCCAATGTTACCAACAGGCGCCAGGAAGAGCGGAATGCCGCTCAACACAAGCCTTTCAACACTTCGGAGTATCCCGCGATACAACATGCTCTCAGACTTGATACTGGAGAAATGGACATGTCTGGATCGTTGATTTCGACCCACAATGAGTATGGCGATTCTGTCTCTGTTGGCTACGCCGTCCCCCGGGTCGACCTGGTGAATTGGGTGGTATTGGTGGAGCAAGCCAAGAGTGAGGTCTGGGAGCCTATCAACCATTTACGCGACATTCTGATTGCTTGCATATTCGCAACAGCTGGATTCCTCGCCATCCTCGCCTGGCCTTTGGCTCATTTCGCAGTTATGCCCATCAGAAGACTCCAAGCGGCCGCCCTCCGATCCGTTGAGCCACCCAACTCGCACCCTAGCAGATCGAGTTTCGAGTCGTTCGGGTCCATGCCACATCATGACGGACCCAATGATGGTGATGGCGACGGTGATGGGGACGGAGGCCAGGTCACAGTCCATGAAGAGGTGGCGCGCAAAGAAGGCTGGAACATCATTGCACGGTGGAAGACCAGGCATGGCGACCGTGAAGCTCGCAATAGGGAGCGAAAGAAGCGGCAATTCCGCATACCTGGGAAAGTCAGGCAGCGCAAGCACTGGATCAAAGACGAGCTATCAGATCTTACTGAGACGTTCAACGAGATGTCTGATGAACTCATGATGCAATATGAGAAATTGGAGGAGCGAGTACAGCAAAGGACTGCAGAGCTGGAACTGAGCAAGAAAGCGGCCGAGGCGGCAAACGAAAGCAAGACGCTCTTCATCGCCAACATCTCACACGAGCTCAAGACACCCCTAAACGGCATCATGGGCATGTGCGCCGTCTGCATGCAGGAAGATGACCCACAACGACTTAAACGTTCCCTCGGCATCATCTACAAGAGCGGCGACCTCTTACTCAACCTACTGACCGATCTACTTACCTTCAGCAAGAACCAGGTAGGCCACCATATCTCACTGGACGAGAAAGAATTCCGACTGCGGGACATCTCATCGCAGGTTGTGGCAATTTTCGACAAGCAGGCAACGGAAGGCCAGATCAACCTCAGAGTTGAATTCCAAGGAGTGCCAGAAGTAAGCTACAAGTCCGAGGAAGGCACAGTCGCCGAGCCATCCGACTTTGGGCCTGAAGGAACTGGAAGGATCAAAGACATGGTTCTCTGGGGTGACACCCATCGAATCCTGCAAGTCGTCATCAACTTGGTCTCGAACTCGCTCAAATTCACCCCTGTTGGCGGTACTGTCGTCTTGAAAATCAGATGTCTGCCCGAACTTCCAGACGTAGTGTCGCGTAGGAGCTCCCTGCAGTCGCGGAATTCGAGGCCCTCTAGGAAACGGACCTCCAGACACAAGGGCTCCGAGGTCACGATCTCTGACGCCGGCCACCACACAAACCTCAAAGAAAGGCCGTTCGTGAGCTTGAACGAGCGACCTCCTTCGCCGCCACCTGGACGATATCTCAACTTCGAATTTGAGGTGCAGGACTCTGGGCCCGGCATACCAGAGAACATGCAAAGCAAGATCTTCGAGCCGTTTGTACAAGCTGACCTCGGGTTGAGCAAGAAGTATGGTGGTACTGGTTTGGGTTTGAGCATTTGCTCGCAGCTGGCTGGGCTCATGCACGGCTCCATGTCCATACAGTCTACCGTCGGCAAAGGGAGCACTTTCACGTTGAAGATCCCGCTGCGGCATATTCAGACTCGTGCCGACTCCAATGCGAGCTCCAGTATTGACCTCCACGATAACATCCGTCGAGCAATCGCTGTCGAAGATGGAGGCGACCGAGATCCGATCCGCCACAGCCGCTTGCACGCCGAAGAAAACCACGTCGACCCCAAGAACCAACAACAAGAACCCGACGGAGCAGCCACGCCCACTCGCTCAACCGACCCTCAACCGCGCCTCGTCGGCCTCTCGCAGCCTTTCTTCGCAACCTCCCAGCCCCTCGAATCCCCCGGCTCCCAACCAGCCGCCATGCAGCAAATCACCGCCCAAGCGACCGACCCAAGCAGCATCTCGCCCGACACCGGCCGCATCCGCGT